TCACAGCTGTGGCTGTAAAAAGATCTACATCTGATGGCCAACACCCAAGATTCACTGACAACACTGTTGTTTTGAGGCCAGTACCCCACAATCTTATTATTTAAGCATAATGAAAATATAATAACCATTAATCGTCTGCTATTTGTTTTTGCACAAAACCCCCGCATAATGTGTTTGGCAATGAATCTTCAAATGTGTTTTTAGAGAGTTATGAACCTGAAAGATAATGGTTTAGTATCGTCTCTTTTTCCTCCTATTTGTAAGAGGAAAAGTTTGTCATTCTTTCAAAAGTTACAAGGCCTCATTTTGATTTCAGAAAACTAAGATCATGTCAGCATAACAATATAGACTATAAACATTTATTGCTACTCTTTACTGACCTGCATATATGCAATGAAGATATGACTATATCAGCCCTGATATATCAGCCAGGTTTAATCTTTATCAACCAAACTCTACTCAGGTGCAGCTCTATCGGTCTATCGAAACTGAATGAAAGGCTGTTCGTGTGTTCTTGAGATTGAGATTTTCTATCCCATCGTGCAGCGTTCAGAGATAGGAGTGTTTCCTCTGCTGGACAAAGGGGAAGGAAAGGGAGGTGTTGGGTGCAGAGAGATGTGGTATTAAGCACTCCTTCCATCATTTAGCCGCTCATGAAGAGTTTGTGCTGCCCTCAGAGAACAACCCTGTTACTAGATAGAGCACGTACACAGAGATAAAACTCTCTTACCTGCAAGGATGGCTTACTGAGTTATACAGAAACAGCCAACAACAACTAACCGCAGACCCACTGAAGAAACTCAACACTCCCAACTGCTTTTAAACAAACTCTCATCCAAAACAACAAACAATGAAACCAATCCTACATCGCACAAAGATCTTTCCGAGTAGATACACACTACAGATACACAGACACACTACCAACCAGCACAAAAAGAAGACCGGCTAGACTGACCTGACACACACACATATACAGACACACACATTCCTGTATCCTTTGGGGCTGCATCAAAAGGGAAATTCTGGGCAGGTACAGGATAATTTCCCTCTGGTCCAAGGCTTGGACAAACCAGTAATAAAATACACATCAACAGACACTGCAAGACACACACACACTCATTTGCCAAGCTCAACACCAGAGCTCATGAGAACCAGCTCCACGCTGACTGAGGGTCCAGCCCCAGTTACATAAGACGACCTCCCTTTCCTGCAGGATCTGTAACCGCCTCCTGCCTTACACCAGAGGGACACAGAGGATGGGCTTTCAGTTCCAGTTCCACACATTTAAGAGGATTTTAGGTATTGATTTCATTGATTAACATTCACAAAACCCTCTCAGTGACGGCTAGCGTGCCGTGGAGCAGTTGCTCTCTGAGGGCTGAGCTTTATCGCTGCACAGAACACTTGTGCAACATGTTCCAGAGCTGAGTGTGCAGTTATGCAGTAAGCAACATGCACGTGTTTGTATACCTTTAGCCTATTTATCCAGGCAGGCATGACGCTATTGTCACTACAAATCAAACGCGCCCATCGAAAGGATGAAAACAAGTTGACCACCCCGTCAATTATTGTAAACTTGTGTGCGCACTACTTAGCAGCAGGCACACTAGTGGGTTTGATTGCTATGAAGAGAGAAGCAAAAAACAAACAAAGAGATTTAGTTAGCATAGCAGTGTATAAACAAGTCCAGACTTTGTTCCCTAAGGTTTACTTGTGGTGATGATATCTAAAGAAGCCATTTACTATCAAATCGCTTCAGTATAATTTAGGGAGTCTTGTTCATTATTTATATTTGTTTAAGAAGATTGCAACTTCTGTAAAAAAGAAAAATCACAGCCAACATGTAAAGCGCTACAGTTGTCTCTGTGTCTTTAGTTTAAGCTTAAGTTGCTCATAATAATCATACAGCTGCAAAGAGCCCAAGTGCAGAGGAGTAAACTGTTTCAAGATAAAATTTCAAAATACTAAAATAGAGTCAATGTGTGATATGGTCTCCGAGTGGGATTGGACTAAAACTATAAAGAAAGCTTAAGTAACGTGAGTTTTCTGTGTTGTGAAGGACACACCGGAGCCCATATAAAAAAAATTCATTACACTAATCAGAAATTACACAAAATCCTCGTCCTTACTTTCATTTTGTGTGTGTGGTCCCATGACTACCCCCTGCACAGCCTTAATGATACAGTAGATAAAAAAATGCACATACGGCCGTGCACAAGTCATGCAAGTGTAGACTGCATAATTAAAAGCCCCTCGCTGGTCTGGTCTGACAGGAGGGGGCTCAATCGCTAGTTCCGGCTCGGGGCAGGATCCCTGTGAGACAACAATGCACGGCTAACAACTACTGGTTTTAGACCCAGGGCTGTATAAATAGCCCCACTGTTTAGGGCAGGGCTGTAAAAGACTACCTGTGTCAACAAAACACCAAGAAAAAAAAATGGCATCAAAGCTCCAAGCAAATATAGATTAGTAGCTAGGAAAGGACCCCCACCCCAATCAGAGAGGCCCAAAGCAGAGTAATCAATCTACAAGCAGGTTCTTTAACTGTTAGCAGAGGGGTCCCTTTGAAAATTCTTTCAGCTGAATTTTGGTGAAACTGTACCAGATTTATCAGGAACCATGCCTCCTCCAAAAGAATAAGACAAAAGCAGGAATAAATATTAGAAAGATAGACTACCAGATGTTAACAGCAGCTATTTTGTTGATAAAAAGATTTGAATATTTCTACAGTGTGTATCGCATAAAGGGCCATTGGGGTGCAGGGCACACTGCATCTTAACTTGTCTCAACAATGATCCAGCCTTAATTTTGTTCTACTTAGTGTTTGTGTTTGACTCTCTGAGAAAACCAAACGCACTACCAAACACACACACGTTTAAATACAAGTAGTTTACATTAGGGTGCATAAAAGGTTCAAGTGTTACCAGGATTTACCTTAGGCACAATTTCAGCGTCGATCAGGCCACGAGATTAAATAACGTTAACAGTTTACTGCTTTCCAGTGAAACACAACCTTTATTAAAAAAAACTAAACATGTTAGCTGAGTTACAAAGCTAGGTTAGTTAGTTAGCAAATGTTAAGCCCAATATCAAAACAAAGCTATTTAGCCACACAGAAGCAACGACTTTATCAGCAAAACATGCAAGCGTCAGCAGACAGATGCTGAGGCTAAATATCTCTGAAAACAATTATTTTATCAACAGTAAATAGTTATTTCAAACCCATTTAAACGCGTGTTAATGTTGCAAAAGCTACACGTTTCCACCAGAGATGGGTTTTGTAAACAAGACATGCTAATCGATTTTTCAGACCAAGCAGTCTTTCACATGTACAGCATTAGCTAGCTAACGTTAGCTTAGTAGTTTTTTACAGTATCTGCTGGTGCTTTGTGTGTTTATTATACTCACGGGGCTGAACAACGTCTCACACGCCACAGTTATCTGTATGTATCGTTTACTACCCCTGTATTCATGAGCTGATAGCTATTCGGAAGGTAGTTTAATGTCCACAGAACAAAAGCTAGCAGCAAACTCACTAAACGCTACAGCCGCAGACCACTGACGTCTGGTTATGACGGGTTGCCAGGTTTGGTTAACTTATGCTCCTAAACCGCTGAGCAGTTAACTCCGCGAGACATTTCAGATAATATATATATATATATCGGGAAGAGATAACTGTTTTCCTGCATTGTTTTTTTAATAGAAACTTAAACTATAATTCACGTAAGAAAATAGCTGTCATGTTTAATTTCTTCTTGCACTTCAAAGGTACCTCTGATCATAGTGCGTGAAGCGTTGTTTCAAATTTGGCAACCCACATGGCCTCCAGCTGGTCCAGCTTTCACGGCCATGCTGCGGTTCTGCCAGCAGTGGGCGCTGTTTACTGTCAGGCAAAGAAGACAAAAATAAAAGATTAAACCATAATTCAAGTAAAACACATTTAAAGTTTTAAAAAAGTCAGAAATTTAAATTCATCTTTTACTGTCTCCAGAAGTTTGGTTTTAATAAAGTACAAATTTCCTTACTATTTAGCCTTACTTTCATTTGTCAACTGACAACTGTGATTAAAATTAGTAGATAATATGCGTTACAAAAATGATCATAGTTCACTAGATTTCACAAGCAAAGTAACATGATTTATTTTTAGTATTTTGAGTGCTGATGATAGGTTATCACTATCACATTACAATTCAATACCCTTGGTTAAGAACATTAGGAGATTGTTTTTGGCCACAGCGGCACCCTGCTTATGTCTAAAAATTATTATTATTTTGATCGTTTGACATTTTAGTAATTGTTTTGTTTTTACATTTGATACTGATTTCTATTTTTAAATTTATTATTATATTTTTTTTAATCAATTAATTAAAAAAATGTTGTCTATTAATATACACACATACACACAAGTTATTGTTTCATTTATTTTATTTAAATTTTTATATATATTTAAAAGATTTTACACACACACACACCTTACTGTTTTATTATTTTTATTATTTTTATATTTTTTTAACACAAACACACATACGCTTTGATTACTTTACGCTTTAATTACTTGTTTAATGAAATGTATGGGGTTGATTGATGTAGTTTGTATGATGCTTTGGCAATATTGTTGTTACACATTCATGCCAATAAAGCAAATTTGAATTGAATTGAATTGACTCCTTATTATTACATTTGATTGCTAATACAAAAAATGTTGTTGTTTCAGTGCAGCTACAACTGAACTACTTCAGGCCATCTAAAATTATAACGCCAATAATTTGAAGTCCTGCTTTACATTATGGCAAATGAGCAGAGGCAGAGGAAGAACTAACAAATATTATCAATTACCCTGAAAACAACCGTAGCAAACGAAATGTACTCAAACTAAAATGTAGTCTTGCTGTGCACACATTAACTTCCACATAAACTCGTGTTATCTGTTGGACCAATCGCAAACAAGCCTATTTCCTCTCTCAGGGAATAGTTTAAAAATCCAAATGCAATCAAGTAAGTCATGGTTTGAGTGTTTTATTGTCACATACAACTCACCGTTTAAAAAAATAAAAAAAAGTTAATGGTAGATGAATCAAAGTGTTATCATTCATTTAAACAAATAAAAACAAAGGATGAATAACTGTTCTCAGGTAACAGTGTTGAGTTGGCTACTTCATTTAGGACAACAGCATTTACATAAAATCACGCAGATATATAAAAACATGAAAGGAAACACTTCCCAAGTGCTGACATTCTGCAAAACTGATTTGGTTATTCATTGAACATGGTACACATTAGGCACTCAACAATGTTGCTGACTAATTCAACCACAGCAATTCCTTTGAGCCCAAATGATTACTTTGAGAGTCTGAGTCTCAGAGCTGAGACAGGTTAAATATGTTTCTCTCGCATATATGCTATGCTCTAGGAGCAACCAATGAACTAACTATCAGAACGAAGGCAACCTCCTTATTCTGCATGTTGAAGAAGATATGACACCTTAAATCTTTCTTTTAATATGACCACAGCTGCTTTCTCTTTGAAGGCACTTTAAATGCACCTTTCTTCAAATTCTTCAAGTCTACAGAGTATGCATGTTTGATATAAAAAAGACACTTTTTGGGTAGGGTATCTCACAAAATGTAGACAGAGTGAAAATTTATGTATGTACCAATACTAGTTCCAATGTAAGCCTGACTTGCATCTTTTATAAACATTTAAGTCTCACCAGAAGGTGTGACATCAGGACAAAAACAGCTGTGGGACAATGGAAAACAAGTTTTTAAATCTGCCTTACATGAAGGAAAATAGAAAGAGCAGAAAGATGACAGAGAATCCTGGAACCAGTAAAGGACAAAAGACAAAAAGAAAGGGAAAAACTGAGGTCAGCTGACATGGCTCGATAGGTTTCCAGTATGTGTTAAAAAGTTCACAACAGCAACACACTTTATAAGTCTGGAATAGATCACAGCAAAATGCTCATAAAAAGAAGAAAAGACCACACTGTAGCAACTGATTTACTCTGGGAGCATTCTGAAGGGGCAAAATATATAAAAACGCAATGAACTGGTTCCATACAAAGGAAGACTGCAGTTGTAAAAACTAACTAAATTCTATTTAATGAAGTGCTTTGCCAGATTAAAGTGGGAACAAAAGGAATAAAGGCAAAAAATCCCAACCTATTTTTCTGAAGTTGTGCTACTTTTGGGAAATGTTTAATAGTAAATTTGGGGAGGAATCATTTGCAATCAATTATTTAAACATGGATATGATGACCAAACAAGCAGCTTCATTCATTTTTCATTTCACTTTGCCTGAACTGTTTAAGTTCAGAAAATTCACTTTACTGAAACGCAGCCTTTTAACATTTAAACTGCAACACAATATTACAAAAACCAAAATCTCCATTTCTCATTTCAGATTATTGATGAGTAATGCAGTAGTCACAAACCTTATTCTGACTATCCACACATGATAGGTATTGGACTGCATTAGACAAGTTATGATTCTGACTGAAAAGAGTGCTACAATATATTATGCTTTTACTTTCAACATTGTGGATTTGATCAACTAGAGTTCACACTTAGAGAACAAAGGCATCCTTTCCAAACTAAAGAAAATGTATGCATAGGATTACGTGTGCTAGGTTTTGTTATTTAGAATATTTTAATAATTATAAGTATTAATGGTCATTTGATTCACCTCTACATGCTCCTTATTATCTTCAGTGGTTTCCATTTAGGACAGTTGTTTTTCTGAAGGGTCCCTACAACCTGTTTAAAAGCTACTGTAGAACTGAACGATCCCGTTAGCCTCTGTTCCACAAGCAGAATCACATTTCTGGGATTTCCTCTCCATATTCCGTGCTAAATAGCAATATCTACTACCCCTTACAATGGTTAGTAAGGTTTGAATACTTAACAAATTTTAAGAAAAAAAATTCCTTTGAGGGCGTGCCAATGGCTGACTGTGGTGCGATCTGTTGTTACTGAATGCTAACAGGACAGATGAAATAAATGTTTAGGAGCAATCCCACTGAGCTACAGATGTTGGTGGAACAGAGGCTAGCTAGAAAAGGTGGCAGGACTTGGTTTGGGTTGCACCAACAATTTGTCAATCCATAAACAAGTTTTAAACAGCATTTCAATCATGTGTCGGGACTCGGATCAAATATAACTTTTACTCTTCAATCTAATGGGTGATGCATTTGCAAGCTAACATTAGCTTCATCAGTGGGTCCAGTTAGCTACGAAACACCTTGTAGTTAATGTTTAGTTACAACTCATTTCTTATAAAAGAACTAGTTTGTGTGCTGCAACCTGTTTTAATTTAGTGATGTGTAAAACTCCACTTTGTAAACACTTATGTTATAACCAGGCTAACTCTGAACTTACAAAGAGCTGGTGCAAGAGCAGCAGCATAACAAAAATCTTCATTTTAGCGGGATGCAACATGTGCCACTTTCACTGTAACACCACGCAACGCCGGAAATGACCACATGCCCTTATAAAGACAGATAATTATTAGAATACTGCTCTACAGCACGAAGGGATTGTAGCAGTACTTCATGGGTGAATCTATGGATTTATAAAAATCTTTGGGAGTCGGGCTGCGCGGCCTATTGTCTAATATAATACATTTAAGATTTAACATGGAAAACAAAACAGCTTCACGATCTTTTGACAGCTTCAGAATATTAACATGGCAATAATGGCAAGATTAGATGAGCTTAGAAGCAACTAAGATACGCCTTCATTTTGTCCTTCAAGGGTGTGTGGTTTTGTTGCAGTGTGTTTCCATTAACCACATCTTAAGACAAGGTCTGTACAATTAGTACAGTATAGTATAGTTAATTCACAGCAATTTTCAATCAGGAATGAGTTAGGGGAATTGGTTTTCCCCTCTTCTTAAAGTAGTCCTTTCTTCTTAGAAACGTCAGTACCCAGAACTCTGTTCAACAGATCCTCATGCAAGGTCATTATCCAGTGACCATTTGAATGGAGACTAATAATCATGTCAACAATAATAAATAAATATGTAGAAACACAGGGATCGAAGGATCAAAAGCAAAGGAGTGGAAGGCACCATCCTGTCGGAGGAAAAGTGAAGGAATAGAGAGATGATGTAACCTTTGGAGTTCAAAACTTGACTTGTGTGTCCTTGTCTGTGTTCATCAGGAGACACACTGCCATAGCAATTCATAGATTACATTGTCTTCATGATCATTATTGACTTGTTCTATAGTCTCAACTGGCAGCAGTTACTTTTCAACCTTAATTCTACGGCCTTGTAGCCATGGATTGAGTCATGTTCATTGTCCTATTTTTTAAGGCAATGATTTGGGACTTAAAGCCATCTTGGCCTCCAACATTGGCAGCGACTTTGAATGACAATAGTGAAAGTTCAGTCATTGTAGTGCTGGTTACCCCAAAATTATAAGGTCCGCTCCAGTCACTGGCTGTCCCCATCCCTGTTTCAGCCATTGTACTGCTGCTGATAACGACGGTTCAGCTCGCGCAGCTCCTTCTCCCGCACCCGCCGGGCTTTGTTGGATTTGGTGGAGCGGCTGGAGCGAGTGGACTGGGCCGACTTGGTGCTGTGGCAGCGTGAGGACGCCCGCTTCAGCAGGTTCTGAGATATACAGCGCTGAAGGTTCTTCATGGAGGAGGCGGCGGCCATGCTGACGATCCAAGGGTGCTTGAGGGCCTGGCCAGCTGTGAGCCGCTCACTGGGGTCCACCGTTAGAATCCTCTCCACAAAGTCTTTGGCCAGGTTGGACACGCTCGGCCACGGCTGCAGAGGGGGAGACAGATGTGAGACAAGACTGTAATTTAGTCACGGTACACTGAAAGTTAATGTCTGTACTCTATACAGTGCAATGGAAATGAATGTTTTACTGTGTTACGGTCATACAATTCAATTCTCCTTTCAACGGAAGAGGCCATCTTTGTTGTTTCTTATCTGAACTTGTTACCATGTTACACAGGTGTAACTAATATCACTAATTGCTGAATTGCATTGCAATAACTGGTGGAAAAGAGGCATTAATCATATTATTAGCTCCACCTGTGCTCTTTCTGCTTCCATAAAATAGAAGGGGAAGGAGAGAAAGAAATAATAGAAGACCTTCTATAGAAATTAAATGTTTATTATGTGGACATAAGAGAAACTTTCTATGTTTGAGTGAGAAGAAAATGGATTAAAGCTGAGGTAGGCAATTGATTTCAGGAGCATTTTTGTTGAAATTCAAAATCAACCCGTCTCTAGCTGGTTTCTCCAATGTTTCCTACTCTAGCTCTAAATAACAAAAAGAAAACATGAGAACAACAACTTTTGTGGTATAGGATGACACATCAAAATCAGAATCTGTGTGTTCATGACAGAAGCTGCCGGACACAAGACGTTTCCTACTTTACTGAAAAGTCCATTCTTAGTGTATGTGCTCTGGAGGTTTCCACATCACACTTGTGTAAGTTACTGGACCACGACTGGCTTTAATGCTAGTTGTTATGTCACAAAAACATGCTCATATGTAAAAAGTGTTGAACTCTAAGTTCTGATGTGCAGAGAAACTTTCCCACATAACATTTGAATGTGAAAACAGCCTTCTAGTGTTACACCCTGCACATCTATCATTCTGCACAGCAAAGCTCAAACATCCAAGTAAAGCAACAATAAACAAAACACATCTGAGTGGAGTGGGGCTTTAAATAATTGTTAAAGAACCTATAGTTTGTTTGGCATCAGCAGAGCTTTGTCCACTGGACACACGAGGGCAGCAGAGTGACATAAAGCTGAGAACTTCTACTACAGTGTACAGACAGTACATCTGACCATGTTAGGCGTTTGGTGTATTTGACTCAATGTGTCTTCTTGGTCTTTTGATACAGTCAGACTCAACCATGGGTGTAGGGTAGTAAATTTAATGTTCTTCTGGTTGATTTGTTTTTTTATGTTTTGCTTGAACAGAAATTCATGTTTCCAAAAGATCTAATGTAAAATAAAACTTCCTAAGCAAATGCTCTTGACAACTGTGGTCGACTCTTCCCGAGAAATGGACTCTATTTAGAATGAGTGACTGAGACAGGAATTGGGAATATCAACGCAGCATGCCTTTCTACACGCACGCACAGAGTTTGTACATGATGTCCTGCTTGGCAACCAGCTGTGTTTTCAGTCTCCCAGTAGACAGCATACCCCCCCCTCTTCACACAGCAGGTAAATCACCAATGTTGGCTAAAGATACATGACACATATGTAACCCTTACACATACATTTCTCCTCCACCAACAATGTCTGGGCTGTGATTAGTTTTTGGGCTGCAGCTGTAAATGTGAAGATTATTTATCACAGCTGTAAAGACACATGTCCCAAAGGGAAGTACATTTAAGTCTGCCCCACCTCAGCTCCACCTCTCAGTTACCCTCAGGACAGGATTTTCTTAAGCTCTCTGCCATGCATAGTGACATAATCCACATAAAGTTCACTGCATTGCATCCTTACAAGAAGATTAAATTACCCCGTTATGAACTGAATCGTTCTTGTTCTCAGTTATTAATGTCTGAGTCAACGCCCCTGCAAAACACTTAATCACCACGCACCATATGTTTATTCTTCTTCTGTCATAGCGACAGACAAGAAACATGGGGACGAGAGAAAGGTGTATGACATGCAGCAATCGTCGCAGTTACATGGTATGCATCTTAACCACTAACCACGTTAGGCTGCAAAGGAGATGGAGACCAAAATCAGAGCTAAAAGAGAGAACTTCAGTCTCACATTCACCGGGTGGTTGTGAACACAACTCAGCTGGATGTGTAAATAGGCAACTCGTTTGCTAACAAAATATTAACTTAAAAGGTTACAATATGAGAGAGAGGTGATTACAGCTTGCTTACTGCTTGAACTTGGATTTTGTGTCTCCTTGACAGCTACAGTGCGGCGTGGTGAACAGATCAGCTCACAAACCTCTTATATCAAGCCATCATTTGGCCTTCTCTCCCCTGTTGGTTTTCAAACTGACAACTGTGACTTTACAGAAATTTCCATTTTTGGAGATCAAGTCTGTACTCATGTTGACAGAGAATAAGGATTGCTCTGTCATACGCTCATGAGAACTTTTATGTGACAACTAAGACCACAATATCTACTCAATAACCGCCATGTAATGCTAAAAAATGCATAATTGTAGATTCCATTGAAAAGCGCTCTCTCTAATTCCAAGGAAGACTTTCTGGACATACCCTGTACTCATCCACCAGCTCTGCTATCCTATTTGCAGACCTCAGCTAAAATATGGGCTCGCTTGATGTGATTTAAATTATTAAATGTGTTAGATCTGAACTTATCTGACCTGTCAATACTTGAGAAGTTGAAATGGACGCATCCCCAGAAAACTGAGATGATTCAACTGCTCTTCATTAAATATTACAGATCTGCTCAGCTATTATTTGCGCTGGAGTGGCTGTATGTGGGGCCAACATTAACCAAGAGCCCCTTTTTGTAAAGCTCACTGGCAACATAAACATCCCACGCTATGAAACAAAGAAACGGGCAACTCAGCATTCTTCCAACTAGAAACACAGATAGAGCATAAATTATTGTGCACACACACACACTTAGTGGGAGGGCGTAATGACTTAGGGAGGACAAATAAATGAGTGTAGTGAGCTAAAAGGTGAAGGTTCATGAGGCAGACGTGGATGGGAACAGAGAGTGAGACTTGTAAAGGGTTAAGCGTGTGAAAATGCGTGTCTGTGTTAAACCTGTCACCACGAAGGAAAGGCTGAACTTCTTGGAAACCTGTTGACAAAGCCTCATGCGGTGAAAGGAATGTATTCCAAATATGGGTGAAGTCTGCTGGGGTGTCTGTGTGTGAAACAGATTTCACTCCTCACCTCTCCAGAGAAGCTGTACTTCCCCTTGAGTATCTGCCGGTAGAGCCTCATGCGGTTGTCGTCCTCGAAGGGCATGGTTCCGCTCAGCAGGATGTACGATATCACCCCCAGCGCCCACATGTCTACAGCGTTTGTATAGGGCTTCCTGACCAGGATCTCAGGGGCAATGTACTCTGGCGTGCCGCAGGTGGTCTTCATCAGACACTCATCGCCCTTCTTTCTGCTACTGGCCAAACCAAAGTCAGTGATGATGATCTTGGAATCGGCTCCAGGGTGGTAGTAGAGCAGGTTCTCCGGTTTCAGGTCTCGGTGAGTGATCCCCAAAGTGTGGAGATACTTGACGCCGTCCAGGACCATCTGCAGCACCCGCGTGGCGTCCCGCTCTGTGAAGGAGCCGCGAGCTATGATCCGGTCAAAGAGCTCTCCTCCTGTGGCGAGCTCCATCACCATGTAGACACGTTCTGCCGTCTCAAAGACCTCCATCAGCTGGATTATATTGGTGTGACGAACGCGTCGCAGAACGCACAGCTCTGACTCGCACACCTCCCTCCCCTCCCGGTAACGGGTCTCGATCATCTTGATTGCATAAGGCTGCCGTGTGCTCTTGTGTTCTACGCGAACAACCCGGCTAAAACTCCCGCGACCTATCAGAGCTTTGATGTCGTACTTGGCTGTGACCCGGGGGTCAAACTTGGCTCGATATTTTGCCACCTTCTTCCGCTGAGGGTCCGACAGTTCGGATGGGTCCTTAGGGGGCTGAATGGAAGCGGTGGGAGTGGCAGCTTGGGCCTGATATGGGGAGGTGGAGTCAGCCTTGTTACCTCCCCCTCCACCGGCCCCACCCATCTTACTCCTAGTGCCATCCCCTCGAATGAAGTGCTTATAGATATCTGTCTGAGGAGGATCAACCTGAAAAATACAGAACATCACAGATTCAAATTACAAAAAAAAAAAGAGTACAATGACAAAAGCTGATTCAATTTCTGTGTAGAAAGGAAGATAATATCAAATCAACTGTCATACATGCATATTAGCTGATAGTATTTTGTTTTACATAAGCACATTAACATAAAATTATCTTGATATGGACCCCTTATTTGTTTGTGACTACAATACACACACTTACAAAAGACATTTTAGAGTTATTAAATAAACAAACGGACAAACATAATGGTGATACTGTTTCTAAATTACTTTAAAACCTAGTCTGGCAGTTCTCTACTACAATTTCTTGTTCCTTATTGGCCGACAGGATATATGTGCAATAGCCTCATTCGTCAGATATTTCGGTCTGGCCCGATTAATCAGTCTGGCTTTAATAGTTAGACTTTAACCTGTGTGCAGTAGGGGTGTGAAACAATTTGTTTTATCATCAATTTATCTGTTGATTGTTTCTTGATTAAATCAAGAAAATAGTAAGAAACGCTCAAAGCCCAAATATCTTGTTTCGTCTGACCAACAGTCCAGAACCAAATTGCTTTTATGTAAAATATCTTAAAAGACTCAGAAAACTCGCAAATTTCCACATCAAAAAAAGTTGGAGCCAGAGGATTTTACTTCTAAAATAACTTTCAAGTATCAGAATAATTTCTGATGATCAAATTATCAATTTTAAAATGTTCTGATTGGGGTCATGTATCTGGCCTGGAATGGACTGGAAGCAACACACAGGCTGCTTCACCAAGGATTGTTCAATTTTTCTAAAAACAAAAAACCCACTGGCTTCTGGCTGTTCTTAAAAATATTAATATAATATTATAAATATTAAATATTATAATATAATATTTAACAGATTGATCAACAAATAAAGTAATCATTAATTGCAGCTCTAAGTTGACATTATCAATACTTACTGGTACTAGTGCACATAGCAGTAATGGTAGTACTAGTAGTAGTAGTATCTGGGGTAACAAAAGTATATCCACAAGTAACAACACTGTCCTACTGACCTTTTTGACCAGGTCCAAGTGAACATCCCCTGGAGGCTCAGGGAGGACCTTACTGTTCCTGCACCCCATCACATCACCTTGGGCCACTGCCCAGCCAGCCACACAGGCCACCAGGAGCCCTGCCTCATCACCCCAACAGCTGATTCAACACAGTCAGGGCATCCAACATCCAGGCTGTACCCAGACTCAGCAAGAGGGTTCATGAATAAAACTGATTACTCCGACTCAAGTCCCAGTGAGCTGGCATCAGCATTCACAGTTCATGAATACGCCCGAAACATCCACTTAGGTCCAGTTTAAAAAGTCCAAGGCTTCATGAATATAATTTGGGCAAGCACGTTGTGTGTCTCGGCTCCATCAGCAAGTCCTGTGTTACTGTGTTTTGTTGTTCCAATATTATTTTATAGGCCCATGCTGCTGGAAGTCAGAAGGCAGGGGGTACCTCAAGCCCCTTGAAGAACCTACCAGGGCCCCATCTCAAGCAGCGTAATATGTTGAATGTTTGAGAACACAATTGCATGAGTATAGTTAGTATGAGTGACACAAATATGATGACTGATTAGGGCAGGGGAGGGAGAGGAGCTCTCTTAAACAAGATGAAGGGTGTTTGCCTTTAGGAGAAATGCATAAAGCTTCAGGCAGAACATCCACAGAAAACAAGATCATCAACTCTGCACCGATCCATTGGGAGAAGCTGTGGTCATGCTGCAGATAAAGCAGCTCCCCCGGACTATCACAGGCTGGAGAACAACGGAGGGAAGCTCTAAAATGCAGAAGTAGAAAATGACATATGAACCTTAGTGATTATGGTTAGGCACACATGGGCTGAGAATATGCTGACCTGACCGGAGTCCGGCTTTCATTTATCACTCAAAGGCAGATAAGCAACTGACCTAAACAGAGAGACAAGTTTGGCACTGAAGCCACAGTTTTGTATAGAAGTTGCGTGATGAGGCCATATTGTGAAACTTTCAGCCAAAATATAATTACAGCGACCCAGTCTGTTTTGAAATGGCCAAGAAAACAAGGGACAGCTCTGCCATTGTAAGAAATAGCTGCACTATCACAGATGGTCACTTATATCCGAGTATCAAATGTTGGATGTCTGCTTGATATAGTACTGTTAAGTGTTCTCAGTACAAAATGTTGATTAACTTACTTTACTTTTTCTCTTGTAACAACAGGAAATAAACTGGAAACATCCCGAATAACATAGTTGTATAAAAAATGTAATATGTAACTGTATTAAAGTTTAGTTAAGATTTTAAAAATGGCCAGGCCCCATCATGTCAATGTTTTTTCTTTAGCCAAAAACACATTTACCAGTTATTTTTCGGCAACACTGACTAACACCAGGACAGTCTCTAAAGACTTTCACAAATAACCCCATTATAAGAGTAAAAGTGACTTACAATCTCGCCTCATTACTTAACCCGACATAGCGAAGTGTCTGAGCATGCTAGCTAGCCTGCTAGCAGCAGGGAAGGACTCCCAACTTTGCCAAATCCAGCCTCCTCACCCCACTCTCACTCAGCTGGGCTCTCCATTTTCACCTCGTAGTTTCTCAACTTTATACCCGAGGACAAACAACTCAAATCCATCACTTCCTTTGTTGGCAACATTTTGTGTCAATCCCAGAGTTTCATGGCTTGTTTTGGAGATGTTTTAAGTGGAAAGAAACTGTATGAAAACATGCACCGCTGTCTCCTCAGTTGCTTTTCTGGACGGTGTTTTTCGACCGGGACCACCTTCCCAAGACTGAAAAGTGGAAAGAGACAAAATGCGACACAGAAGTTCCGGTTGTCATTTTCAAAATAAAACGCGGGTTGAGAATTCTTTGCAGCATTTTGTGTACAACTAGATTGTTTGTGTTTTAAAGGCGAAAAAACAGGCCAATGAAACATACAACAATACATTTTTGCTTGCTTTTTATTTTTGTTATGCATATATAAAACAAAACAGACAAAAAAAAGGTACATCACTGAGGATACATAGTTAAAATGAAAAGTCACATTAGTAGGGAGTATTCAGGTCCAACATTTCTGCGTTTTTATGTGTTATCTAGCACACCACCTCTGTTGAAGAAGATACATCCAGCATTGCGGTGGCTGAATTGCCAAGGCAGACAGCTGCCCCGGGGGGCCCTGTTTTGTACTATTTCATTGAAACATTGTTTAGGAATATGCAGCACTTAAGCATGAATTACATGATATGATGGTTCCTGCTTTATTGAGCAATCTTGACCTAAAGACCTTCATTATGTCAGTCTTGTGAGTGGGTGTATATTGCATACTCATGAATTTCCAGAAAGCAAATCTTGGACCAGGTAGTATTCTTGCAGAGAAGAAGCATTTCACAGGAAGTAGGAGGAGTGGAGGGGTTAAAGAGGTTAATTCACCTGCTGATAACTCATATAATACATAAATTTGTTTTTCAACAACCCACTTTGTGCACCCTTATTTTGAAGGCCCAATCCTTCAACTTCCTGTGTACCTCTATCTGTCTCCAGCTAGCATGACGGAGCTCCTCTTTCACCCAACTTCTTTTGTAGAGACGGAACGGTCTCCCTCGGCTTGTTCCGACCCCATAAAGTCCTCACCGTCACTTCCTGGTCCCTTCTGTCAAAGTGCTGACTTCTCTCTTGGAAAAGTACTAGAAAGTCTGGGAGGCACGTTTCAAGCTCACCCACAAGTTCAGGTTAGACTAGTTTCATATACTGTGACTGTTATCTGACCCTCATTTGATATGATCATACCTCATGTACCAACATCTGAGAGCAGTGGTGATGTCAAGCAGTTATATATCCACAGACATCTGTCTAAAATATGTATGATAGGGAACTACAATATATGAATATATTTAATTTTGTTATTCCCTTTTGTGGTGGAGTCTCACTGGGACTAGGGGACCCCTGCTGGTCTGTTGGCCTGTTTCGGAGATCAACTACTTAATTCACAGCAGACATGCAGATGGATCCCATACATTCTAACTTAAATTCACCACCAAGCCACTTCACTATGCCTCCAGTCTAAAACCATCATATATGCAGGACTAAACCATATGTTTATAGACATGTGTATCACAATGTATGAAGTTTTCTATGTGTATACACATATGTTTTCATTTTGAACATCTTTCAAGTGGTCTATGAAAATAGATATTTTGGATTTATTTAAAGAGATTCATTTGCAGAGGTCAGATCAAAAATGCTTTTCAGTTTCTGCTGCATGGGCAACACTCTATATAACATACCGATGTTTTAATCTGTTACGGGGCATTTCCACATGGTGTCACTATAGACATAAAAGTCACTTTCAAGGCCATCTCAAACTATGAGGCTACTTTTTAGCCATTTTATTAGTCTGGTTCTTCCTTTACATGCCAACACTCATGCCTCCACAGTGCTTGTAAAACGGCCTGGGATGAGGAGCATTCAGTTTCAGCCTGCTTGTTCATGAGCAGGTAATAAAGAATACATGGCCTTGGCTTCAACATTGATGTGATAGAGTGTACTGGACTCACTGTACGCTGACCGTGACTTGTACGGCCTGCACAGGACGCAGGAGAGTTTTGTGGAGTAGCATTAAAAGTGGGAAATTAGTAAGAGGAAGACAAATGTTCCGGAAAGAAAGTCAGAGAGACTGTAAAATTCATCTTATGATGCCAATAAAGCTCCTTGAATTGGATTGAGGGACTGAAAATGAGTGGGAGAGGGGGGGTGGGGGTGACCGAAGAAGACAACGGATGACAGATGGTGGGTACCAGACAGAAATATAGGGAGGGAGGGAGGGAGGGAGGGAGCCGAGAGATGAAGCGGTGGAGAGTAATCAAAATGGAAGGGGGGAGATACAGAGAGATAGAGGAGGAAAGGAAGAGACAATGCAGTCAGAAAGAGAAAAAGAAAAGACAAAGCGAGAGGACAAACGCACAGAAAGAGAGTCTCTGAGGGCCAGTGCTGCCCGGCCAGCCTCTGTGCTCTATCTGCAGTGCAGCTGAGGTCAGGGCCTCTCCGGCTCTGCAACTCGCTGCTCCATCGTCATCTTCGTGATTGATCACCGCTTTGTCGCACTCTGATTAAGATGCTTTGTCTGAGCGCTCCGCTTCTATTGATACTTGTGTGTATTCCTCTGCGCCGCAACTGTCTCTCTCTCGCAACTCTCTAGTTTTGTCCCCTCTATCTCTCTCTCTCTCTCCATTGCCCCTGGTGTTGCCCCGTTGCTCACTTTCCATGTCCCCTTTCCCACCCCCAAAGGTCAGTATCATCTATTAGATCTAGATTTGCTGACTGCTGTATTATTTATCCAAACAGAGGAAGAGGAGCTGCTCTATTAAAAGCTCAATTGACTCTGTGTGTGTGTCTCTGGCTTCATTAATATCAACGTGCTGGTTTGCCCCTTGTTTGTGTGTTTGTCAGAGAAGTGTTTTAAAGTGTGTGTGTGTGTTTGTGAAAAGGCTGCAGAGGATGAGTAAGCAAGTAAGTAGGCTTTACAGTGCGTGTGTGTGTGTGTGTGTGTGTGTGTGTGTGTGTGTGTGTGTGTTTACATGTACAGGCCGTCCGGTGCAGTGGGACAAGAGCAGAGACTGTAGCAAATGACATCCTGTGTCAGATATGATCCTCGTTGGAGGATATTGCTATTTCTGTGGCCTCCCCTCTTCTCTCCACTACTCTAGCAAGGCTCCCCTAGAGAGTCAGAGAGAAAAAGACAGAACACTGCTGCATGGCATCAGCACAATCAAGTCATAGTAAACTCAAACTATTGATTACCCCAGAAGCATAATTCCCTGAAGTAATATTGTGTGACTACTAAACTGACACCGCTGGAGATAAAAATATCATAAATACGTTCACTGTAGGGACATTATTGACCAACTCAGGCAACTATTAGTTTCCACGAGAATATTATGAGAACATTATTGTGTTTTTTCTATTCTTGTTGGATCGTGCAGAATCATCATGGGAGGTGCCATTGAGACTGCAGGATTTCATTTGTTCCCTGTTGGACTGTCTGGAGCTCATAGCTGGATAGAAGCTGATTAAGTGGTTTTCACTTCAGATTGTCAAACCAATACCATCCCTACAGAGAAAAATGTAAAAAGCCAATACGCTGAAAGACAAAGACGGGTTCATATGGAGGCTAAAAGAGTGTGGGTATTTTTCAGGCTGATGTGTTTATGTTAAAATACAATAGGGGGCAGCGGACATGTTATCGTCTAATTAAGTTGACATAGCAAACGTTTTTCTATCACAAATCCAGCAGTTACAGAGCAACATTATCATTCATTTAAAATTGTGTTTCTGGCCACCTGATGAATTTAAGGCCAATATTCACTCTACTTTTAGCTCTCCACCAACTCCTGATGGAAATGGCTGGCTCTTTAGCTTCTAAAAGCTCCACTGTGTTCACCAGCTAGCTTCTAATTTTAATAATCTATGTGCCGTTTGCTGCCTGGCAGGTATAGCATGCATATAGGTTTTTATTGCTTTTTGTTTTTTGCAGGAAACAGCTCTGTGCTGCAGCCGAAACAACGTCGATGAGAACAGCAGGGTAACCCTTTTTACATTACATGTAGTCATTTGATTCATGTAAATAAATGTAGCAGGATATAGCAGCGCTAAATTGGACTACTTTTAGGCGGACAAAAATAAATTGATAAAGGACTGGGCATCAATATCTATATATACATGTTACTTTGAGGAACATAAACATGGTTTGACCCTCTTTTTCATTCAAGAAAATATATCAAACTGATAAAGGCATCAGTGTTCAAAAGCTTTGCCTAAAATAAATAAGTTTCCTGATCTGGAAATATCTGACCACAAAATAAGTAAAGTTTAAAAATCTGAAGAAGCATTAAATACCTAACCCAGCCCTTTAAAGGACTTATAGGGGGATTTCTCCACCAGAATTTTAAACTGTTAGACTTTCACGTTCAGAGGTAAAATTTAAACATGACCACAATATTCCTGAAGTCCTTGCTATGGCCCTGCTGGAGGTAGATGAGATATAAAGTAAATAACACATGAGAATAGATGATAAATAATAAATAAATAGATGATATAAAAATATGAAATGGATAAAACCTTATCTAAAGATAGATGGAAACTTACTAGTATTTATTGCTGCTCTTACTAGTATGTATTGTCAGTTGTAGATCTGTATTTGATGCTCTGTTGATGCTTGTTGATGTTGTTCCTCAAATGTAAGTCGCTTTGGATAAAAGCTTCGGTCAAATGAGTAAATGTAAATCTTAATCTCCACAATGAAAACACCCAAAGACTGACGGGTTGACAGAAGGTAGATGGATTTGTAAGCTGACAGTGAAAATGGACTGAACCGCAGACCAACTGAGCTAACAGACATAGTGACAATGATGAATGCAACCAAGTTTGGACCAACTCCTGTCCAATGACAACACTGGAAAGTAAGAAGGCAAGCCGACGTGACAAAGCATTATTTGAGATACCCTTAAGTTAAAAAAAACAAGTTAAACTTAAGGCCTAATAAACCACTTTAGTAGTAGTGAATAAGAAACTACTGTGGTGATGAAGTACTTAAGAAATCCTTAGACAGTGGAGTGTGGGTAGATGTTAATTCATTAGCTTTCAGCTTAGGAGACTGGAGTAGAAAGCCAGGCACAGAGGGATCTGCAGGCAGACAGAGATAAATAGAGCAGCCATGTTTCAGAAACCACAGCGACAGTTGGGGAGAAGGACCACATTTACTCCACTACTGCTTCAGTGTTCAATTTTGAGGAT